CAGATTCTTTTGCTTGAGGTTCTAATTTTTGTCAGTACTAGCCGTTCCTCCCACAGTTGCACGTGGGCACATATAGTACGTGCACATAAAATAGCCCTTTTCGTCACTGTGCGGCAGGATGTCCACCTTCAGCTGAGTTAGGGGATGTTTATGAGTTTGCGTATGGAATAGAGGTTAAATGTGTCTTTGGAAGCTGAACGTGTTGTCAGATGTCTTGTGAGCCTGCAAGCTTGCAGTGCCCAACGGCACACTGAGCAGCACAGTAAGTTCCTTGCAGTGTCTTGAACCTAGTGAAGTGTATAGATTGGCTCAAGTGGGAGGAACTGCTGTTAATTTGTCTTTATCATGTTTGCTCATCTTATCACTGTCTTTAGCAAATAAAGCAGTGCTTACTATAACAAAACATACGCCGCATTGGCTGCTGAAAACAATTTTTATTTTTTACGCAAAAGCATGAGATTGTGAATCAGTTCTTGCAAATGTGATCCGGACAGCAGATAACGCAGACCACTTCAGTTCATTGCTTGGATGGCGTTTGAATACGTGGTGGTGTAGTCACGAACTGCTCGGGACGAGGTATAAGGGATGTAGCAGAAGAATGGTAAAGTACGTGAGTAAGACATGGAGGAGGAGGACGAGCTTTGAGATAAAGCTTCTCTAAACAGTTTTAGAAACTGAATGGCATCAGTATGCTGTTTAGAGAAATGCCACTGTAGGTCACCTTCATTGTAAGTAGAAGAGAGGCCAAATACAAATAGCTCGAGTAGCTTTTCTTTTGCTGTTGGCTTAAGATGAAATGAGATGTGATTTCAATAGCGTCAGCTATTTAGCCCTTAAAAAAAGGAAAGAACTATGGCGTTTCAGAACTGTGCTAAAGGGGTCTGAGCTGGAAGGGAAAACTCTTGTCTGGCTCAGCAGCACCTGGGAGCTTGTCAGGCCTGGAACTCTGGGACACTGTCCCCCGTCTGAGGCAAGCAGGTAGGCGGTGTCTGTGCCGGGGACTTTCTGTCGGAACAAGAGATGGAGTGCCGTATGGATGGCTGCAACGAACAGGCTGGCGCTGGCTTTTTGGTGGGTAGGGCTGGGGATGAGTAAAATGGGGAGAATAATGACCCAAGAGGATGGGACAGATAGACAGGAAGCTGAGAGGGAGGGATTCAGGGTGTGTTGGAGGAAACAGCTTGCTAGAGTGGCAGCTGGTGAGTCTGCCGTGAGGGGCCACAATTTCTATAGGTTTGTGTCCTCTGTTAAGTGGCACCATCTGCCCTTCCTAACAAATACTGTGTATTGTGAAATGAGTGTATTCGCTTAGGTATCTTTTTTTTCCTGAATGCTTCTTCCTTACTTCTGCTAACATGCCTAACCTGACTGCAGTGTCTAAAAAAACCTTGTGGTTCTTGCTGTGTTTCTCCGGTCATCTATATGTTGTGCCTGTGATAGCGCCCTGTATATGGTGTCACTGCTTTCCTACTCTAGTTTCCCTGTTCCTTTACTTGTGCAAGTCTGGTGAAGCGGTGCTGAAGAGAAATATTTTTAAATCCAGAGATCAGTCAAGGCAAGCTGCAGAATCTCGAGGGGAGAGATTCAGTTCCAGGTCTAGAAAATCTATGTGGGTTGGTTTTTTTTCCCCTCAAATGAGTAGCTAATATTCTTTCTTCAAAACTGAGAGAAGAAACTGATTTTTGATTATTTTCTCCACTTGAGTTTAGCAAAAGAAAATTGATAAAGTCAATTTTAGGGTTCTTCACAGGCCAATGTCTTAGAATATTGATGCGAAGCTCAAAATGCTTTGTTTTTCTAAAAACCCAAAAATGCCTCCGTAAAAGGCTTGTTCCTGAGAGAACAAAGCATAAGCCAGGCAAACTCGGATGAGTTTGGATGGTAGTTTAAAAACATGGATTGCTTGTGTTTGTTGCCATCACACCTAATTGAAAATATTTGCTGGTTTTTTGCTCGATTTCCTTTCCTGTTGCTGGTCTCTGTGGAAGGCAGGGTAGCTTACGGAGGGGCAGCTGTTCCCAGGGCTGGGAACATTCCTTTAGACGTTGTCATGATGCTGCAAGTGCACACGTAGAGAAATAAGCAAAATGCAACTGGTTTTGTTGCTACTGTGTTGTAAAACAACCAAGTTTGCTCAAGAGGCAGCAGTTCCTAGTTATGTAGCTTTCTTTAAATGCTTATCTTAGCTAATTTTGGTCTACGTGGTAAATAAAGAAGCTCATTCAGTAATAAAATCACAGCAGTTTTGGCCTGTGAACTATTTGAAGTATCTTTGTAAGTCACTTCTTGGGAAACATTTATAGAGGCTATGAGAATGAGTGGTTTGCAGAACTTGCTTCTGCTGCGAGGAGATTTTTCTAATTGATATTGAAGGGTGTTACAGTATTGACATGCAGTGCATCTGCTGCTTCTATAGCTGGATATTTTCAAGGGGTAACAGTCAAACTGTTTTCTATTACAGACAACTGAGAAAAGTGCATACTCTGACGTCTATGCTTGCTTAATGTGGCTTCCTCGTAAGATCTGACTGGGTTTTATTTAGGTTTTAAACCCAATGTGTAATAAACAATTTCTGTTGAAGAAAATATTTTGCTAGCCATAGCACAATTCAGCTGCATCCAAGGAGCATATTTAGAACCTGTTCATGCTGCATAGTGAAACTAGTTTTATTCACGGGACAAATGTGTTGGCTCGATTCATTAATATGGTTCGTTGTACAAAGTTCACGGGCTCCAAGGAAGCGGCAGTTGAGGCATCAGAAACAATTGGATAAGTCAGCTGTCTGACCATCCATCTCCTAATCCTTGGCAACCTCTTCAAAATGGAGGGAAAACTTTGGTAGATTTCTTCCATGTGTTCTTGCAGAGCCTTTTTCAGGTACATAATTCTTTTAATGGCAGGTAGATTTTTCTGTTTGAGTTTTGATGCACTGGGTGCCTTTCTCGTCACTGAAATTGGGTCTTTCTCAGTCAGCTCTTACTAGAGGCACTACTGTAAGTCAGATATAATTGGAGATGTCGCTTAACTTCACAAGGTTCTTTTGGCATATACCCTGAGTGGCAAAGTTAAATGCTAAAGCACTATTTTTAGGATAAATTCCTTGTTTACCGTCAGCATGTAAGTGTTTAAGGGAAGTAGGTATTTAAGTATACGTTGTAGGGAACTAGCCAATTCCTCTTGAAGCTTTCACAAGATTCTGTTGATGTGATGTACTGCAAAAGGACGTTAGATTGTTCTTTTAATTTTTCCTATCCACTTCCCTTAAGCTTTGCATTCTGCAGTGCTACGTTGTTCGATACCTGTAATACCCTTATACCTGGCAGTGTCATTAGTTTAGACTTCATTCATGTGCTTGGTATTAAGCCGTCAGGTAACATTAATTGTAGTGAAGACCTTTGGGAAACTCTGTCTACATTTTTACCAACCTTCCTCTCAAGTTTGATGTAACTAGCAGAAGCTAGAAGCTGTTAGCCAGCTAGCAGTAAGACTAGACCAGCTGCTGGTTCTTGGCTTGTAAACTTCAACTGACCTTGCAACTCTAGAGTTTCAGCCCTTTTTATAACTGAAAGAGCACCACTAATTTTTCAAATTGCCGCTTTGCCATTATCTCTCCCTATCGTTATCTCAGTCTAGATAACTGAAAATTTTGACTATGGTGGATGGTGAAGTGGCTTCCTTTATCCTCCCCTATCACATAAATTTATTATCATAAGCTTTTGGCACGTAAGTTCTATGCTCCCATATGTTAAAGGCCTATATTAAGTTCAACTTGCATCCCAATTTGTTTGTGTACAACAGTTGCATTGCTTGTGAGTCCTGAACAGGAATATTCTACTTGTTGCTTGTGTCTTAACTACATAATACAAAAGAAAGTGCCTAAAAATGCAGTTATTTTATTGATAATCCAATAAATTCACTGTAGATAGCAAAAATTTGGGTCGATAGATTCAGATTCTTAACTTTCAGAATGTGGTCTTGCTGCTGAAAAAAAAAAAAGGAGAACATGTGGCTTGGAAGGAAGAAAAATGAGATGTTTAGTTGTATGCCAAGTGGAAGACAGGTTGAGGTCATCTAATAACCCTTTAATCTAATTACTAGTATCACTGTGGTTGTGTTGTTTTTTGTTTGGTTTTTTTGTGTTTTTTTTTTAATAACAACACACAACAAACCCACAGAAATTGTTGTGAGGAATCTAGTTTTGCTATGAGATTCATCTACAGAAGTCAGAAGCAAAGTTGATGCATAACTGGGGATACAAGTTCTTGTGAGCTAAACTTTTACCCAGACTTCTCTAACCATATCTATTATAGTACAGCTTAGTTCTCATTCTTGCACAGAGAAATTCCTTTGCATTCATTCTTTCTTGATGGTTGTCATTATCCATGAAAGCTGTTGTTCCTCTTAGTCCTTGTATATATCCAAGGAGGAAGAAAAGGAGGTTCTTCTAGCACTGTTGCCTTCAAAAGACTTTCAGCCTGGGAACGCTTACTGTCATCAGTGATACTTGTAGCAGTGGAACTTCCTGTGTGGGCATATTTGTCCTGAATATATGCGTCAGTGTGAAAAGTCACTTTTGCAGCCAAAAAGTCAGGGCAGCTAGACAGGTAAAGTTCTGCCTATGGGCATGTTCAGAGTCTGAAGTGTGTCAGGAAGTACTAGACGCGTATGTTGGAAGTTAGATCCTTGCCATTTACAAACTCCATATTGAATTTTCTTGAATTTTGTTTTTTGAAAATGCATTTGGGGTCAAACGCAGCCTCATGAAATATATTTTTATGTATGTTGGGAGTTTTGTCAGTCCACATGCACTTCAATCCATAGACTTGATTCTTTTACGGTTACTGGGCTCCCTGTCTGGATTTGAGCAACAAATGCAGTTTGAGAGTAAACATTTCAATGTATTGTGTTTGTAAGTAACGCTGAATTGTGTTTAAGTAACTGATTGCTACTTGCTATTTTTAAGTTTTCAAAACAGTATTTTCTTTATTAACCGTAGGTGGTGCGTTTGTGTCAGAACCCTAAACTGGCGTTGAAGAACAGTCCACCCTATATCCTAGATTTGCTACCTGATACCTACCAGCATCTACGAACCATCCTATCACGCTACGAGGGGAAGATGGAGACCCTGGGAGAAAATGAGTATTTCCGTGTTTTCATGGAGAATTTGATGAAGAAAACCAAGCAGACCATCAGCCTTTTCAAGGAAGGGAAGGAGCGGATGTATGAGGAGAACTCTCAGCCTAGGTAATGGGGAAGAGGGTCTTCAAACATTTATGATACAAATTTGCTTTAGCGAACCAGAGCTTAACCAGTGTCTACTGGTTGATAAGTTGTCTTACATAAAAACAGACTTTGAAGAGATTTAAGTCTAAGTGTAGTTTTAAGTAAGCAATACTTGGGTATATTGAAATCTGAGAGCAAAGTGTTCGGAACCTGTATAGCCTCAGTTGCTGTGTAGTTCAAGTATGCTAGGTTAATATAAACAATAAAGTCTACTGTGAAAAGGTTTTGCCATCCTTTGCATTCTCACATAGAGAACATCTTGTGAGAGAGGATGATAAGGTTCAGAATGACATCTCTGGCAATTTTAGGAAACACTAGAATATTTTGTTACATAGCAAAACAGTCATCCAGACTAAAACTTCTTGTGGTTGGTCTTTAGGCTTTATAGAACTTTTCCTTTTTCTGGAAACTGAAACTGTCCAGTATTTCTGGAGGTGAGCAGGGAAGTAACCTTATTTTGTGGGAATAAAACATCTTGCTAAAACCCCATAACTTTCATACATTGGAAACTTCATATTTAACCTAGATCACGGTGTCTCACTTGCAAAGTCTTTCATTTTGTTCGGAAGGCATAGCTGAGATCAAGGGACATCTTCAAGGTGAACAGCACTTACTAAAAAGGATAGGTGGAGGTAGAAACTGCAATTGTATCTGAATATAAGGCTCTCTTGAACAAAATAGTGTGAATTTGATGAGTACTGTACCTGAAAAGGTGCTGCTTTCCTTCATCCAGCTTTAAGGAAAGGAGAGCCAGGGTGATTTAAGAGTAGAATAAAGCTCTGGAAAAGGTTAATCATACATATTTCTCTAGCTGTTGGCAGCAGGTCTAACGGACAGAGAGCATACGTTTGTAACTTTAAGCTTATTTCAGGATTTTGGAGTAGGTGTTGAATTAAAAAAAAAAAAAAAGTGGGGAAAGAAGTAAAAATCACGCAGTGGCTGAACATAATTGCTCTGGGGAGAATACGTTGTTAAGGCCCTGGCCTCTACTTGCTTGAATTACTTGAGGGGAAAGGGGGAGGTTGTGGAAAAGTCCTGGCACGTGTTTCTGGTATAATATTGAACTCTATGTAGCATATTCTGTAATATTGAACTCCAACAACAGACTATGATAGCGGCTCCCGAAGGCATTGTTAATGCCGTTTTATTTTTCACCAGTGGTGTTAAAGATTGAATTAAGAAATGGAAGTTTCTTTCTGGGTGGTTGTTTGGTATTGTTTCTTTGTGGGATGACAAGACTTACTCTTAGAATTTGTTTGAGACAGGATTTGAGGAGTGTAAGTACTGCATCTTGATATAGTACACTTTCTTCTTTTAAAAGTCTAGTTATCTCTATGTGGCCTTCAGGAATTGGGTTCGATGTAATGTGTCAACTCAAAAGATAGATGTAATAATATATCTGCACCCCACCCCCGGCTTTGGGAGAACATGGTTACTGTAGGCACAATTGGCTTGTTGCGGGCGAGAAGAAGGTTTTGGGAAATGCCACTAGCTGGAATTTTCAGAAAGTGTCATAGAAGATAATGGATGTAACAAGTATGGGGAGAAAAGAGTTCATTAGCCTGGGGTATGTTTTGCGGATGAGGTGATACTTAATGGAAAACTGCATTTTTATTATTTTTTTTAGCCTTCAGTCAGATCAAAATGAGCACTTTTTACTGTGAATAAATTGATTAAACTGATTAAAAGCCACCTCTGGGTCTTCTGGTAGAACTGGTCATTTTCTTATATCATCATTTGAGATATTAACAACACAGATTATCATTCAAGATTGTGAGTGATTTTTTTTTTTTTTTTTTTTGCAGTGCAGTGGGTTGCTCTTAAAATGTTTTGAACAGCATTTATCTTGACATGATTTTGTATGTTGCTCCCATGTAACAGAGTTGATGTTATTTTCTAGAACACTTACTACTGCCTCCAGAAGTAGGCTAAAAGGGTGTGTGAAACCCTTTAGAGTTTATCTGTGATATTTTTTCTGGTTAACTGTACGTGTATTGTGATCTGTCCATCATAAATGTGGAATGTCTGATGAGTAAATGATAGCTGTGTCAATCATAAGTCCAACATCTCACCTCCAGTCCCTGGTTTTTTTCAGAGACAAGCAAAGAGAAGTAATTCCAGAGAGTTGATCCTCCTCATCATTTTGTAGTCAAACTAATTGACAAAAGGGAGTGGGAGAAATCCAAACTGATAGATGTGAACTTCAGAAACAGGATTCCAGTAGAGGCTTGCTTTCTCACAGTGGTCATGGGAGTCTTTGGGGAATTGTGAATTGTACCATTTATGAATAAACAGCTTACCAGGAAGCAACTGTGGTGAGACTTGTAAACATAAGCATAAAATCCAGTGTACTGAATAATCGTTTTGTCTTGACTTTTTCTGACTTTTTTTCCTGTTGTCCTTGAAGCTTCTTTCTTCCTGTCTTCCAGATTTAGCATTTATTTTGTTTCCTGTTGTGTGTGCTCTTACTTTCCTCCCCCAAATGTCTCTTGATGTAGAGCAAATGCACTATTTTGACATTTGCATAACTAATGTGAAAGCTGTGCAGGTGTTTGCCACTAGCAAACAGACCAGTAATTGGAAAGGACTGAAGTCTCCCTTAGATTGTAGGATCAGAATTGTCTCGATCACTTGAGCATCAACCTTCTATTTTTATTATTTCTGAATTGCTCTTTGTGTATTTCCTCTCAAACTTTTTAGAGATTGTTCAGTGTGTTCATCCAAGGTGGACTAGGGCAGAATTGGAGCACAGCTGTGGAGAGCACCATGTCATGTAGCTGTTTGTGCTGCTTCAAGAGTTCATAATAGCCGCAAGATGTGTGTCATCTAACGTTGAGTGGTTTGGTGCAGTGTTGTGTATGTGTTTAGAGTAGACTGTGTGGGAGTATAGTATGGATGCTATTTGGTGTTTGCTGTAAGGCAGGCAGTTTAAAATCCAGTAGTACAAAGTAAGATTGCAGTTGCATATTGGATGCTTAAAGGTGTGTTTGAAGAGAACTTGCGCCTTCGTGTATTCTGTGACTTTCAAACTACAGTAGATGAGCAGAGGTGCTGTGAACAGGGTTAGAAAAGGCTTGTGTGAACACTTGCTGTGCTTACGGATGTGGGTGAACGTGTGTTCCTTCAGTTTTAAACTGAAATTGCAGTCATAGAGCTGTTAGAAGCGAAGGCAGCTCTCCTGTGTCATACCTTACCCATCAGCGTGCTGAAAGCATCCTCCTGTTGTGGCTAACACCGCAGTGTGACGTCCAATGCTCTCAACACTCAATGGCTTCCTTTCTTTTTTTAGGACTGTAACGGCTGTTTTGTCTCTGTAACACTGTGGTTTTGATGTGTAGTTGTTAGGATGAAATTGTTACTCTTGCATAAGCTCATACTGTGACTTTTGTGAAGACAACTTATTTTATTAGGAGAGCTTTAAAGATGGTATTTAAATTCTGCTTTAGCTCACTTCCACGTCGGTTTAAAAATTAATGCTGTTGAGGGTGCTTTTAAAGCTATGTATGTACTTCCTGACTAATAAGTACATGCAGTAACTTCTAGTTACTGTTTAAAGACTGAGTTTTAGCAAGTAGATCAGATTCAGCTTGATGACTTCTGCGTAGGTGTGGGTTTTTTTGGTGGAGATACTATATTGCTCCTCTGAGTTTTGACAGCTTAGGAGCTTATTTGGGTTGTCCTTGCTAATAGGTAGGTTGGTCTCTCAAAACAAATTACATATTTTGGGATCTGGTAAAATAAAATGGTAACATCTACAAGCTTTGATATTGGAATCAAATAGTATTTAAAGAGTTAATCATTCCAGATACTTTGTCATATGCTTGCAGCAAGGTAAAGGTAAGTCATTCAGTAATTGTTTGGCTGTATTAGCAGGTATTCTTGAAGCTATACACATTTCCAAAGCTGTTGGTTCCTATTCTTTATAGATCTACAGTGCTTTCTAATGAAAAATTTAAGGCTTGTCACTTGAAGTTTTAAAAACAAAACACGAAAACACTCAAAGGTGTAGTTTGCAGCCTATATAGCTGAAGAGGTGCAATAAAAGAAATTCTGTAGATGGTACGTATCAGGTCTATATGCAGAGGAGAAAGGTACACCTGCTTAGCACTGAGTAGCTCGCTGTGCTACTTGCAGTGGTAAATGTGACTTCTTTGACTCTCTAAATGTTGTGAATTTTTTGAGTTTACTGTTTAACCAATGATAACAAAAAATTGGTTGAACATACATATTTTTTTCCTGCAATGTGATGGTTCCATTGATAGTGCCGTTAATACTAATGCCACAACTGCTCTGAACATGCCGAAGTTACCTAAGCTCTTGATTACAGTTTAATTTGAAGGCTCTGTGGTTATGTTGGAATATTTCTTGTTTCTATTCCAGAAAGCTTTTACTTCTCCAGACCTTTACTTGCACCGAGGAGCTGTCACTCGTCAGCTTTCCCAACTGCATAAATTACTCATTGCAACAGCTTTTTTTTTTTTTCAATTGTGTATATGGATTATACTTCACATGGAAAAATAGCTTGCTGAACAGTAGACATGGATAGGAATTATCTGTTACTTAGGAAAGGGTAAATTAGGCTGAAGAGTTATCTTTCACCAGTGAATCGAATTTACTGATTGTGTTAAAACAGTCTATTATGAGGGAAAATTCAGAAAAGTTATTTTCTAAATAAAATCAGACCACTGCAAATGTCTCCACATGCAGATATGTAAACTGGAGGGTGGGGGTTAGGTGAAAGGCTGAGGAGAAGTAATTATTCAGGATGTGGACTGGATGTTTAAGAATCAGCACAAGTTATTTCACTAGTTCAGCTTGCATACTTTCGAAAACAAGCTGTTAACAAAACTAACATATCTGTAGAGGAGAAAATGGAGTTAGGCAGGGAATACAATAAACCCCCTCCATGGAGTTGCAAAAAAGGTTTGGGAGACTTCTCCATATTTAACTGTTGTCTGTCT